TTGTATTAATATACTGGTGCATGGTATTTACTGGCAATCTTATAATTAATGTTTTTAAAGTATCATTGTGTACAGTAAAATATAATAATATATCATATAGCAGTATAAGCCAATATAAATATTATTTGGTACAAATTTTAAGTCTCTACAGTAATTATTATTGAGTTCCAACCAACTTTCAAAATTTRTTTTATTTAGAAATTCATTTTTAACTAATTTTTTTTTTTGTTTTTCTCATTTATCTTTTACTTTGGTTTTGTACTGAAATTAACTGGTTTATTACTTATCAACTTTTGACACCCCCTCCCTCTCCCTAAATCATTAATTATATGCTTACAAAACCACCCTCAAAGTTAATTTCAAGCATTTGTACTGCTTTTTAAAGATGATGATAGAGAAAAACATTTAAAAGTATCAAATCAATATATCCATTTGTTAACTTCTCCCTGGGATATAGAGTTAAAAATTTAGCTGCCTGACTGGGAATCGTGTGATTGCTTTACTACTAAGCTACCTGACCGCATAGATTCATGATGCTATTATCCTCAAGTTAATGGATGTTTATACATTGATYCACTCATAGTCTAAAATGATTTATGTAATATTTTCACTTTGATATTGTCTCATTTCAGGATATTAGAACAATATATTTATCAATTTTTAATCTAGTTGTACATGGTGTGTTTGGATGAGTAAAGTCTATTATAAGTTCACTCATAYAAATTTAAAGTTGCCAAAATATAATGATTGAGATTACAAGTAAAAAAGATACTAGGTAGTTCTCTAACTAAAAAATTGTTTGAAAAGTAATATTTTGAATATTATCAATTTATATMTATTTATATCTATTCTATAGTTTAAAAAATGCTATATATTGTGTGCAGTTTGAAATACTGGGTGAATACCTATATGAATTGATGAATAACTCATTAATATAGCCTAATTAAACAGTTTGTCAAAGTGTTTTTAGATTTCATTGACATCTATTTATTTAATATAATACCTACCAATAAAGCCAGTATGTAATTTTTAATATTCAAAAAGAATTTCTTACATTGACTTTTGTATGATTATTATGCTACTTAAATATAAATTCTTATATTTTATTCACTTTTTTGATATATATAATGTGTGTTTAATTATTTATTGTCAAATGTTTTTTAATTAGTAAAAATACTATTTATTTTATCTTTTATTGTTAGTATTATACATAATAATTAGATATCTCAATTTTTCATTAAATTCATATAACCATTGACCTACGCTTGTATGAATGAGCTCCAGTAATGTGTTACCAGTTTTTAATCATAAATAAAAATAAAAAATATTCTTTTTTTATCAGCACACACAAATAATTGTGATTAATTTATATAAATTTTTATTTTTTGCATGTATTTTAGTTTTCACCAATGATATTCTTTCTCAATATCCTAGAAAACAAGAAGATACCAAATATAAAAAAAGTGTCCCTTCATTATTTGATTCAGATTCTGATCCAGAAATCRATTATTTTCAAATAAAAAATGGTATAAAAAGTAAGTGACTAATTATTTTATTTTATTTTATGTTAATTTATTTTTATTTTATTTCAGATGAAGTTAAAGAATTACCAACTTGTATTTCTTATCCAGATGATATATGTCCTGYATTTGACAAAAGTAATAAATAACATAAGTTAATAAAAATTTTTATGTTTTTTATTTTTAATATTTATTACGTGTTTTAGATGTTGAAATGAGAACTTATTTTAACAAAAAATCATATCCTATTAACAATAAGTCTAATACAAAATGTAAGTTTGCTCAGTTTTATTTGTGTAATTATTTTAATATTAACATTTTACTGTATACCAATTGCATATTCCCTATTCATGGTAAGAAACATAATATTAGTAGTAGTCTTGTGCGCAGGTTTCGGCTTCACTTATAGCAAGCTTATACATTTGGCGGGGTTAATTGTAGGCAACGTCATACCACAAATACATCCTGAATTTAGAATAGTTTTGAAAATACATTTTATTATTTTATACTTTTCATATTTTAGCATTAAATATATTTGAGGAAATTAATCAAGAACCAACAAATTTATATAATCATATTAAAACGGTCAATAACTCTAATCTGTGTAAAAGTATTTCACAAGATTACAGTAAAACCAAAAAATCATTGAAAGTCACAGGTATTTATATTATTAATATTGTATTGGTAGTTGATTATAATTGTAGTTATGTAGTTCTGCAATATAAGTACAGTACACTCTTGGTAATCTGGCCGTGTTATAATCMTTTATACCCAGAAATACAGCTATATTTTATTTTTACCATTTCTTTATAATAATTATTAAACAATTTCAATGATAAAACTAATTGATTAATTCCATATGAAATAATTAGAGTAACAAAAAAGCAAAATTATATTATTTTAATTTTATCCAAGAAATTTAGTATATCTATTAACTATGTGTTTTTAATGTTTTTATGAAATAAATTAAAGTTTTGCAATAAGTAAAAATGCATATTTATGTAAACCTCCATTAATCCAGCAGTTCTCTTTTATGATATCGTTCGGATTACTGAGATTCTTCCGTATTTTATTAATAATATAATAATTGTATATTATTATTATATTATTTTTAAACTAGCTATGTTTAATTTATTTCTAAATAAAATAATTGTATTTATTTTTAGTTGATAGTGCTTCTATATCAAATAGTAAAAAAAAAAATAAACCAATTAATATTGAATCTCTTGAGGAAAATTGTGTCAACTTTAATAAAAACAAAATAAGTAAGTTATCTTTTTCAATTTAACTATGATAAAAAATGATTGCATATATTTTTTTATTTTTAGTTGATAATGTTTCTACATCAACTAGTAAATTGGTTAATTTTGAACCTTGTGATCAAAATTATATCAACTTTAATAAAAACAAAATAAATAAGTTATCTTTCCAGAATAACAATTCAGTATTTGCTAATAAATCATTGTACATAACTACATATATTTTTTAGTTGATTAATATTATTATATTTTATGTTGGTATAAATAATGTCTCTATGACATTTTCAAAACATTTAAATTAAATTTATACTATTTTATACTACATTAAATTGGTATTGACTCAAAGGACAATAACAAAAATATACTATGAATATAGACTTGTAACAATTAAATATTTAGTTTTTGTTATTTATCATAATAATATCTAAAAAGCGTACAATTTTGAAAAATTTGCCTTTTCAATCAATTTCATTTGACCTTTTACATTTGATTGCATTGTATTGTTTTAGTAATTTTTCATAAATCTATTAACTAATCTCACTAATTATTAATTCACTATAATAAAACAAGAGGTACTTATACTACTGATTAATGCTAATCTAAAGTAACATATAATTTATGTAAATTAAAAAAACTTTTTACAATCTCTCCTTCAGGTCCCAACAATTATTAAAATTAACATCTTGAAACCAATTACTTACTTTAATTAACATTTAAAATAATTCATAACCAAACCCATTATATTTTTAGATATAGATTCTAAAACAAGTGAATGTGTACAAACAAATACCGAGGATGATGATATTATTATTGTTACTGAATCTTTTATACGACAACTGAAGAACGAATTTAAAATGATAAAAACAGAATCACAAAGTTGTAAGTTATTTTAAGTTTTACTATCAGGTCAAATCTAAAACATTGGAACTATATAACCTAAGATTTTATACTGCATTGGAATATACTTAATATGAAAATATTTGCAATCTACAAATTTTAAGCCTTCTCCCCTCCCCCTAAAATTAGACACTATTTGTGCCTATGGGTACTATATATCTAACCTAACCTAACGGACTAGCCAAAAACTACAACAATAGGTTTAACTTAAATATCTAACACCATTCAAACCCTTTTAATCTTTTATTAATCACCTTGCAATCTTCCTTGTCCACATTACCAAATAAATCGTTGGTTGCTGTGATCTCTTAAATGAACTAATATGTTTAAAATTTAAATAAACAATAATGGCCTTAATCATGTATTTTTTTAAAAATTATTATATACATTATCATATTTATTTGCTATCAGAAACTTTCAAAATAGAAAAATAATTCAACTATTAGGTACAACTGCTTTGTCACAAATACTAAACAATGAATGACATATAAATTCGATTCACTAATAACCAGTGGTCAAAGTAGCTTAGTAAGTGGAGGGATACCTAAATTTTATAAATTTTCTTAATTATTGTTGTTTAGCTGGTTTACACACAGCAGGTGATTGGAGTTGGAGATGAGTTGTACTCCTTTACCTTATTTATAATACAATTTTATGTATACTAATATTCATTTTTGGTTTTTTGGTTTGCTAACTTAATTGTTGATATATTTAAAATTTTATATACATATAATTATATTTTTATTTAAAACGTAAAACACATATGCATGTATATATAATTTATCTATGTGCAGTTTGTCAATATAAGTTCTAATATTATGCATTATATACAGTAGGTGAAAAAACAAATAARTAACTACATTTTTTATACATTACTGTTGAGTATAGGAGTCTATATTCTATAATATTAATTTATTAATAACTTTTAAATTAATGAATAATGAGTAATGACATTATTATGTTGCCATACAATAAACATAAACCATATTAAAACATATAAGTGTAATAATTCAAAAACAAAATATATAAAAACATGCTTATTGCATTTTTATACTAATATTTGTTGACAAATAAATATGAAACAATATAATCTTATAAAATTGCATGAAAAAGTGGAGGGATACCATCCCACCATATCACCCCTCCCATCTTCGACCACTACTATTTACACTCAATACTTACAATATTGACAATTATGTTAAACCGCATACTTAATTTACTATAAGTAGTGTAGTTCTAGAATAATCTTAAATATTTGAATTTAATCTACTGGTGCAACTTGCAGTTAAACAAGATATGATGATTAAAATGAGAAAGAAATTAGTAAAAATTTACACTGTACGTGCTATATAATAATAATAATAATAATTTGCTATTTATTTGATAGATAATATTCTATTTCCTTCTTTAACTAACTTCCAATGCCATACCATAAATGATATATATATATATTACTCAGATTAAAATTGCAAATTATGCCATTGCGTATAAATCCAAATATATAAAAATATATTATAATATTCCAAAAAAAAAATTATATATATATATATATTAATAATACAACAATTACCTAATAAAACACTTAAAATATTAAAATTTTATTCATATTATGACTAATCATACAAGAAAATTTAAATTTAAAAAATTTATTGACAAGTTATCTAAAACATAGTCAATATTGAATTTAGTTCTGATTTATTTATATTTTAGYTATGATTCCCTTGCCTTAAAAACATAAAATAAATATGTGATTCTTATTAAGTATAAATAATTTGTTTCAGTCAAAAACAGAATTCAAGAACCATTTTATGATAATAATACTATTAAATCCAATAACTCT